AGATAAGCGGCGCGAAGATACGATGCTTAATTACAATTACAATTATTATACCGATGCCGCTTTGGCCCAAATGCACTTGACCGCGCGGTCGAGGTCCTTCAAGGAATGCGGGCGTGAGAGGGCGGCATGGCCGCCCATCGTGGCCGCCGACGCCGCGGCGGCCGTGGCAAGGGCCGCGGCGGCGTGACGCCGACTGTGCATCGCCGACAGTGCAGGGCGCGGGCGAGCCAGAGAAAGAAAGCGGCACTCTCGGAGCTCTCGGCGCTACTTGCAGAAGCGTTGCCAGCCCCGTGCTCGGGAGAATCTTGCAGGAACGTTGGCAGCGTTGCCATCTCCGAGCTCTCGGCGTCCGACTCGGTCTGGCGCGCCAGGTCTGTGCCACCTTGCTCGCCGCGCCCGAGGGCCAGGGCGCCGCGCCCCACCGCAGCGCAGCGCGGCGCTCCACCGCGGCGCGGGGCACGCCGCTCGAGGTCAAGGACGCCGCGCTCCGCCGTCGCGATCGAGGCCCAGGACACCGAGGCATGCGAGCTCGCCCTCGAGCGCATGGAGGAGATGGATCTGCGGATGCTCGAGATGCAGCTGCGCAGGGCAGCGCTGGAGGAGAGGATGGACGCACTGTAGACCAGCTTCCAGCAGGAGAGGGCAATGCTGGCGCGGATGTGGCATGAGCGGCAGGACGCAATAGACACGCACGACGCCACCGAGGCCAGAGCCGTCGATGTCGCCATAGAGGCATGCGAGGACTCGGTCATAGACCGCACCAGGCGACTGATTATGACAGAGGTGCACTACGACGCCGTGGAGCGTATGATTCGGTATCGTACTCAGCATTCTCAGCCGACCGCGGTCGATGGCCCTGGCGACGACGCCGCCTGGCAGTGAGGGGCGCCCAGTTTAGAGCGCATGTGTTCTTAGATTCCTTTTCAGGCGTTCACGCGCCAGGACTGGTCGCCGCGGGCCGCGGCTCCGCGTCTGGACGCGGTCCAAAAACGGAACAACAACAAACAATATTGTTAAGCAATGTGTTCAAATATAAGACCGTCGAATGCCAGGCAAGATAACTGGCGGTGCGTAGCGCGCGCGCCGCTGCTCGCAAGTGCAAGCATTGCTTGGGTTAGGCACGAGCGCGCGCGCTCTCTGAACCCAACCGTGCGCGATAAGGAAGCGCGAAGATAGGAAGATAAGGAAGCGCGAAGATCAGAAGCGCGATGGTAATAATCGCACAGATAAGGCAGCGCGAAGATAAGGAAACGCGAAGATAAGAAGCGCGATGGTAAGAATCGCACAGATAAGCAATGCAAAGATAAGATGCGCAAAGATGCTGGCCGTTGCGGTTCAGGTTGGCAGCATGGGGTCCAAGAACGCCCCCATCACGCCGCCGTTGCACCGCCGTCCCTCGCCGAGCGCGCAGCCGCAGTCGCAGCTGCGGCGGTCCGCTCGGCGAGCGGCCGCGGCGCAGCCGCAGCGCAGCCGCAGTCGCAGTCGCAGCCGCGTTCCGCGGCCGCGGCGCAGCCGCAGCCGCTGTCGCAGCCGCAGTCGCAGCCGCGCCCCGCGGCCGCGGCGCAGCCGCAGCCGCCCGCGGCGGCGATCGCCATGCCTCGAGAAGGCAGGCCCGCAGTCTTGCCGTCGCAAGCCCCGAGGAGCTATGCCCGCAGCCTCGGGTCGCAGCCGCAGTCGCTGCCCGCAGCCTTGCCGTCGCAGGTCTCGAGGAGAAAAGCCCGCATCCTCGAATCGCAGCCGCAGTCGCAGCCCGCGGCCTTACCGCCGTCGTCGAGGAGGCACGAAACATCGTCGCGGCGTGCACAGAGCTTACGGCTTCATTATGGACCCATGGATCCAAACGTGGGATCGGCCGCTGCAGCGGGAGATGATATCCGACCAGGGCTTACAAGAGGTGAACCCCGCGGACGGGCCCGATGACGAGATCTGGATGGACTCCGAGGACTGGTCCTTTGACGAGATCAAGGGCTAGATCATTGGCGCGCGAACGCCGACTTTGCTGTGACTGGCAACTGCCGATGTTGACTCGCAACTGCCACTCTGCTCTGTTGTGACGCCGCTCGAGGGCTATACCATCGGCGCAAACGCCGCCTCTGCTAGGACTGCAGATGGAGGGGTGATTGCGATGCTCGCGGGGGCTGGCCTGACCGCGCTTATCATATTAGCTGCAGCGCCCGCGCTGGTGGTTTGAGCCAATAGTGCATACAGTACACTATAAGTTTTAAGTACATTGTATATGGATGGCGGCTCCTCATCACAGCGGAAATCCGAATGCCACGCGCATGAGGTGCGTGTCTTGCAGTCAGGGGAGTGGAACACGACTCTTGCTGCTTATATTGCTAATCACCGCTGGGGCCCCAGCAAGAGATCGCTGACGAAAAATCCGACCCATGTTCCTCGCTCCTCCAGCCCCCAATTCCAATTCCCAACGCCGATGCTCCCACCGCCATCGCTTGCCACCATTTCCCCTCCTTGTCTTTCCACCTACCACCCCCAGACACTCTTTCTTGCCATCGCCTCCGCCGCTTTATGCGGCGCGCGCGCCACGTAGCGAACGCACGCGTGCGGGGGCTGGAAAGCGATGATCGCTGCGAAATTTGGAAAGGGTTGACATATCCCACAAGCCCTCTGGGCGTAGGTGGTTTAGGGAGTTTCCTCTTCCAACCTCCTTCTTCCCCTTCGGGGAGGGGTTTACCCCTCCCCCCTTACCCTCTCCCATGGACCTGGACAGGGCGCCCCGCGAGGTGTCAGAGGGTAGTTCGCCAAAGACGGCTCCAAGAGCGCCTCGGAGAGCCTATAAGATGAGCTCCAAGATGGCCCAAGATAGCCGAAGATGCCTCAATATGGCTCCGAAGATGCTCCAAGAGGTCCCAAGACCGCCCCAAAGCTCCAAGAGGCCCCCCAAGAGGCCAAAATCTTTCAAACACCTTCGGAAAACCAATGATGTTCTGCTTCTCGCCTTTTCGCTTCCGATGGCCATCCGAGGCTTCAAGATGGCCCCAAAATGGCCCAAAAGGGACACAAGAGGGGCCCAAGAGAGCCCCAAGACGGCCCCAAGAGCGCCCAAGAGCGCTCCAAGAGCGCCCCAAGAGGGGTCCAAGAGGCGATTCTGGGGGCTCTAAAGGGGCAAGGCTAATTAAGGGGCCCCTCTTCTTTGATCGATCTCCTTCAAGATTGCCCCAAGAGGCGCCCAGAGGCTTCCAGAGGCGCAGAGATTGCCCCCAAAATGGCCCCAATAGGCTCTCATAAGATGCTCCCAAGAGGGCCCCAAGAGGACCAAAAGACCCCCCCCCCCCCCCCCTCCCCCCCCCCCCCCCCCGCGAGGCAAAAACCCAAGACGCCCGAGAGACCCCCCCCAGGACCGCCAGGAGACGCCCAAGAGGCCTCCAAGAAGCGCCCAAGAGATATCCCAAGAGGCTCCGACAGGCATCCAAGAGACCTTTGGCCATTTTGCTCGCCCTCCTCCTCCTCCTGCTCATCCGTCTTCCGTCATCCGTCCTCCTCCTTCTCCTCATCCTCCTTCTCTTCCTCCTCCTCCTATTCATCTTCCTTCTCCCCACTCCCTCATCCATCCATCCAGCATCCTCCGTCTCCTCCTTCCTCCTTCGCACGGTTCGGCTGCCCCCCTCCTTGCTCCCGCACTTCCCTGATCACCTCAACTCGCCTGGGCGTTGTTTCTGGATGGGCTGACGGTGATGCGCGAAGCGTCTAGACTTTTGCAACAGCACCGATTGGACATGCAACGAAATCTGTTTGTCCTACCCGTCCCCCCTCGGCGACACTGCATTGCTGCATCCGCCAATGCCTATGCTAGGATAGACTGCTGTGCGCACGCGCATCACAACGCTCACTCCTGCGACTCCAACTGCGGGATATCGCCGCCGCCATCGTCGTCATCGGCGTTGCCGTCGTAGACCGTCCAACCACGTTTGAGAATATCGCCCGTAAGGGTCTCAATCGCTGTCTCAATGTCGGCGAGTTCCATGGTTTTTGGTTTTTGGTACTGCAAGTGCTTGCGCCCGTCTGCATCCTTGCACTGCAGGAATATAGACTTCCTGCGATAATCGAACTTCGCCTCTGGCGTGGGCAATTCAATGCGATCCTCTGGGCGCTTGCGCTTGGGCGGCTTCACAGGCGTTGGCTGCAAGGCCGACGCCGTCGCCACCTTCTGGAGCCAAGTGAGATTCTCCACGGTCAGCTCAACACATGGCACCCTCAATGGCATGAGCTCCACGGTCATCTTCATATTGAAGGTCGCGCCCTCGTTGCAAGTCAAAGCCACGCTGGTAACATAGGGCAAGTCGTCGGGATTCACCGCCATCCTGTTGAAGCCATCTGGGAGAGCGGGTGGCTTCTCGCACGGGTTGCACGCATGCAAGTGGGCAAGTAAGACCTCGTCCACGCGCGTGTTCCTCGCCTTGCGCAAATCCTCCAGGATGCAGCTCTTGCTCCAGTACTTGGCCTTGCCCTCGTGGGATAGGCCGAGTAAGACAGCGAGAGGTCTATCTGTCTGCCTGAGCTCGACGTACGTAGCTCCATCGATCGTCTTGGTGTACTGGGGCGCCCACGTGCGGACGTGCTTCATGTCCGCGGCATGATATTGGACCACGGGCTTCGCCTCGATCGTGAACGACATCGGCGCGCGTGAAAACAGCCGCGCGAAACCCCCGCGGCGGCCGAGCGCAACCTCGCTTGATCACTGACGGCTTGTCACTGCAATCGAGCCCGCGCCCAGCCGCAGCGACGAGGCTTGGACCAGCGCTGCCGCTGCCCCCTCCCCCATCCCCCTCTCCCCGCGCGAGCGCATGCGAGCTGTTTTTGTTTCTCCTGCAAGCGCTGAAAGAGAAGAATACGCCATGTGTACAGAGGACGCCGTGTGTCCTGCAAGCGCTAAAGGAAATCCGCAATAATAATACCATTGTCTCCTTAATCGGCGTGCCGCCCCACCGACCTGAGATCGCGGCACAAGTGTCAAATAAGCTCGGCTCCGCGAGCCACGACTACTGCGTGCGGACCCTCTTCATCGGCGGCGCCTTCGCCGCCTGCGGCTTCAGTGCGCGAAGCTGGTCACCCTTTTTGATGGGTTTTGTGTTTTCCAGGAACGGTATTTTCAATGTAAACTTCTCCGCGCCGACCGAGGCGTCAACGGTGTGAAGCTTGATGGCCATGTTAGACTTCTTGGGGTCGGTCACCTCTTTGTCAATGAGCCAGTAGTGCGGCATGAACCCTTCTATCTTCACCATCTTGTAGCTGCCGCGCGTGTTGTCCGCGATGCCGCCTGGATCATGCTTCTGCAGCTTCATGAAGATGTAAAGCTTCTGCGCGACGCCGTCCGCATTAGTGATCTCCGCACCGACGTCGATGGCACCGTTTGGAGCTGTATCCGAGAAGGCAACTTTGGTCGAGAAGGGCGGGAAGATCGCGCTGGAGACATCGATGTCAACCTTGGCGTGCACGCCGCGGTGCTCCGTGGGCTCCGTCACGATGTCGACCATCTCGCCCGCTGCCCCCTGTAGGTTACCCAATGCATCAAGCGCCGACGTCACGTGACCAACCAACACCATGCGCTGCCAGTCCGAGTTCGAGCGCGGGTCGCACCTGGCACTCCAATCGTTGATGTATACCTGTTGGGATGGTGGGATGGGTTGCGGGGGTGGTGGGTTTGGGCGGGGCTGGGATGGGCGGTGGGGTTGGGGTAAAGGTGCGGGATGGAGAACAAAAGGAAAAGAGCACGTGGGCTGCGGGTGTGTAAGACAACCAAGCTCCATTGCCAAAATCGTTGCCCCCTCCCCCACCCCCTCCCCCTATAGTATACACGTCGCCCTCCTACGGCTTGCAAGCGTGGAAAGGGGGAGAGCGCGGCGTCTTTCTTCGGCTCGCGTTTTGTGATCACCTTGAACTCTTGTGCACGCGGGGTGAGTAGCGATTTCAGGAGGTATGCCGAATCGACTGTGTAGTCGCTCCCATCGCCGATGCTCTGCAGCTTGATCTCATCCTCCTTGACTTCCTGCACCTTGAATACAGTTTTCATCTTGATGACCTCGATGTGGCAATTGGCGCTCACGCCCATACTTGCCAATTTGTGCATCCTGTCGGCGATTCCGCCTACGCTCTGCACTTGTGCAGAAGCCGCAGCTTGCTGCGCGGGAGCTTTGGGCGGGGCTCCTTTCTTCGCCCACGGGGATGTGATCTGCGTGCCTGCAATGGTAGCCAGGTCTTGCACGTACTCGTAGCCGATGTGGTGAAGCGACTCGAACTTTTGGCTCCTGGGGGCTTCTTCATGCAATGGTGCACGAGCCTCATGCCGAACCTGTTGATCAACGTCTTCACGGCCGCGTTGTCTTCTGACAGGTTGACAGTTTTTGCGATGTCTATAGCCATCGATTTCATGATGTCTGCCTGCGAGATCACGCGCTGCACTTCCTTGTTACTCGTGAGCTTAAGCCCGAAGTCACCCGATGCAAAGAGGTTCTGAAAGTCGCCCGATGCATACTTGCTGTCGGCGCTCATCATTGCCTTTACGCAATCAATGCGGAAGGGAATGCAGCCCAAACCATCCGAGCCGATCACTGCATCAGCCACCGCCGCCAAGACCGGGCCCTGCACAATGCGCGGCTTCTGGCACGAACGGTTGAAAGCCCGAAGCTCCTGCAAATTCGGTGCGTCTGGTCCACCAGCGAGCTTCCTCGCAAACGTCGCCAAACTCTGGATCTCTGAAACGAAATCTGGATTTCTGGATTGCGCTTTTGTTATTGCCCTACCCCACGCGACGCCGGGGTTCAAGATGTCGCCCTCCTTTTTATTGGCTTCGAAGTTGGTGACGATCTTCTGCACGCCCCCGTGCATCTTGAACAAGGTCTCCCACCTAGTCTCATTCATGGAAACCTTCTGCGCAGCATTTCCAGACTCCTGCATGATTGAACGCGGCTAAAGCCAACATAAATGCGGGGGGGGCGGGGGCGGGGGCAATCGAAAAGTTAAAGGGTGGGCCATCGATTTCACAAACTTAAGCGGGTCCTGGAGCAAGTCTATAATGGCGCCGAATGCGTCTTCAGCCTGCCAGACAAGCACGTCCCATTCAAACCCCTCCTTCGCAGCATCTGCCAACGTGGGGCGCTTCAACCCGATCTTGTGGATGTCAAGCTTCCCGTCGGTACCGAACTCGACGTTATCTGAATCTGTAGGGCTGCCAAACTGAATGCAGCGGGTCGCCTGGGTCGTGTGCGACTTGCTCACGCTAAGGATTTTGATCTCGCCCTCGTCGTATGGCGGCAAGAAGCCGTGGGATTCCTTGACAAGGTCTCCGTTGAACTCGAGTGCCTCGGCGTGGCGCTGGTGAGATGGGGGTGGCATCTCGATGGCAAAGGGCACGCCCACCTCATCCATGCTGAACCCGTCGCTGCAAAAACTGCGCACCAGCGTGCGCACGTGGGATGGAATTATGCCATCGCCGTACCTGTTCCGCGGGTGCACGGCCACGTAGCGCCCATTCGTTTTCTGGCGCCTCAGCAGACCCTCCTTCCGCAACAATCGCACCGCCTGGTCGCGCAACTGGAGAATCGGGGGGCAATGGCTCAACGTGTACTCCTTGATGATGTCGAAGATCTGCTCCTGGACGCGCTCCACGCGAGCCTGCATGGTCTCGCCCGCCATGGCCCAACTGCAATGCGCGAAACGCAAGGCGGGGGCTGCGCTGAACGCAAGCTTGGGGTGCCTGAAACCTTTGTCTGGGCCAGCGGCAGCACAAATGCATGAAACAACTATTGATTTCGCAGCATGCCTCCCACGGCGCCCGCGCAATATTCCAGATCGGGCACCAAGGTTCTCTTAGGGTTTAGGGTTAACGACATTGGCGTCACAAGTGTTTTGGGCGTCCTGTTCAGCGCGCGCGCTGTTATATATATTGATTGAAAATGCATGCCCATACATGGCGTTAGTTTGCGTAACTGCAGTTATGTGGCACTTACGCCACTTATGTGGCACTTACGCCACTTACATAAGTAGCTCGTAAGTTACTTACGCTACTTATATAAGTAGGCCGTAAGTACTTATAAGTAGGCCAAAGTACTTATAAGTACTTACGCTACTTATAAGTAGGCTGCCCCTACTTATAAGTAGCTCCTAAGTAACTTAGCTACATATGAGCTACTTACACTACTTATGAGCTACTTACGAGCTACTTACACTACTTATCAGCTACTTACGAGCGACTTAGGAGCTACTTATAATTGGCGTAACTGCATAAGTACTTATAAGTACCCCCGCCGCGCGCAGCATCCGGGGCCGGGGCCAAGGCTGGGGGCCGGTGCGCGGGCCAGGGCCATGGCAGGGGCCGGGGTTGGGACCGGGGCCGGGGCAGGGCCGGAGCTTGAGGGGTCTATTGTGAGGTCCAGAGCACCCCCTGCGTGTCCTCCTTCTCCACGGAGGGACCGCCTGGGACCCCCCAGGTCCCCCCCCCCTTTTCAGGACTCTTTCTCCCCCTGCGGGGAAAGGCCGACGTACTCATGATATTTTTTGGTCCCCTTGTTTGTTCGATTTACCCTGCGACATCGATTCAAAGAAGGCTGGCGTAACTGCTTCAGTTTGGGTTAGACTGGCCTCGCGTCGAAGAGCCTCTCACACACGCCGACTGGGTTCGGCGGATGTCACCGGACTCGTCTTTGCCGCCTCCTTTCCAGAACCAATTCAGCTCAAGCAGCGAGCACTGCTCCCACGCGACAACCCTGGCGAGCATGCAGCCACCCTGGAGCTGCTCGGCCAGGCACGTCGAGCATGCTGGCGAGCGTGCTGCAGCCGAGCGTGCTCCGGCCGAGCACCGCGGCCTGCTGGCGCTGCGTCGCGGCCCTCGGGTTGGCGGCCACGCTGATGGAGATCGTCGTGATCCAAGACGTCTGGGACGTCGGCCCTGGCTGGCCCGTGCGCGGCCAAGGGCAGGCGCTGGCTGCCGCGGCTGGCGGTGCCGGCGGCGGCGCTGCCCCGCCGGCGGAAAGGCCAGCGCTCGGGTGGCGCGGCGCCGGCAGCACCGAGGGAGGGCCGCCGGCGCCCAGCGGCCCAGAGGCAGCCTCCAGCGCCGCGTGGCCCGCGGCCGGGCCGCGCAGCCCCGGTGACCCGGTGGGAGGAGAGTTTGCCCCAGGCTCCATAGGTTCACAAATGGGGTCCAAGTATAGATGGGGTCGGCGGATCGCGCCGCATCGCGGATAGCATCGCCGATGCATCGCCGAGGTATCGGCGATGCGGCGCGATCCTCCGACCCCATCCACTCCGGACCCCATCTAGGAGAATCTAGGAGGAGGAGGAGGAGGAGGAGGAGGAGGAGGAGGCGGAGGCGGAGGCGGAGGCGGAGGCGGAGGCGGAGGAGGAGGAGAAGGAGGAGGAGGAGGAGGAGGAGGAGGACCCGGGGGGGGGAAGAGGAAGGAGGAGGAGTATGAGGAGCAGGAAGAGGAGGAGGGCGGAGGAGGAGGAGGAGGAGGAGGAGGAGGAGGAGGAGGCCATCCAAGAGTCCTCTACAGGCGCTCTTGCCGTGGCTGAGGACGGCGCCCTGCGCGCCGAGGCTGACAGAGCGTGGCAGGGTGCCGCGCTGTTTCTTGCGGGAGACGGCGTGCTGCAGGCCCTGGAGGGCGTCCGTGGCCGCAGTGCCAGCGGCCCGCGCCTGCGCCTTGACATGCGGCGGAGCCTCGTCGAGGCTGCAGTTGGCGCAGCCCTCGCCGGAGTGTTCCTGCCTTCGTGGTACGCTATGCTCGGGAAGACGTAAGGCTCGAGAAAGCCGGCACTCGGGTCTGCCGTTTCTTTTTGTTGACGAGCGCGCCCCGTCAAGTTTCAGATTGGGTCTCGTCAGTCGTGTGAAGGCGCCGTCAGGCCAACCCCTCCTCCTCCTCCTCCTCCTCCTCCTCCTCCTCCTCCTCCTCCTCCTCCTCCTCCTCCTCCTCCCCCTCCTCCCCCGAGCCCCCCGTGCCCGAGTCCTGCGCCTCCCCGACCCTGCTGGAGCGCGCGGTGCCCGGCGGCGCGCCGCGTGCCGTGCTCTCCAGGGCCGCCGCCAGCGTCCTGGTGGTGACGCCGGCGCTGCTGCTGGCCCAGGCAGGCCAGCCACAGCTGGGGGAGGAGGCGGAGGAGGAGGAGGAGGAGGAGGAGGAGGAAGAGGAGGAGGAGGAGGAGAGCGGGAGGAGGGCGGAGGAGGGCGGAGGAGGCGGGAAGGAGGAGGAGGAGGAGGAGGAGGAGGAGGAGGATAGGAGGGATGAGGAGGGCGGCGGAGGAGGAGGAGGAGGAGGAGGAGGAGGAGGAGGAGGGCGGAGGAGGCGGAGGAGGAGGAGGAGGAGGAGGAGGAGGAGGAGGAGGCCCCCATCGATCTCGACTTCCCTCTCGAGAGATCGTCGATGCGACGGGTTCCCCCTCAGGGAGGTAAGGGGGCCACGGCTCTCCCAGCTGTGGCCGGTCGCCCAGGAGCTGCACGCCCTGGAGCGCCGCCTGACGAGCGGCTCCCTCTCCTGGGCCGCCCTGCAGCGGGAGCTCGCGGCGGGGGCCAGCCGGGAGGCGGCCGCGTGGGCCGCCTGCGGCCTGGCCTGGGCGGCGTGGCACTGCGCCTGCTCCGCCGCGGTGCTCGGTATCGTTTGTGTATCCGACCCCCCTCTCCTATCGGAGGGGGGAGATGCGACGCCAACACCACCAGGGGGCCCACCTCCAGCGAGGAGGTCCACGATGCCTCCCCGAGCGAGAGACTGGGGACGTCTCGAGCGAGAGGCGGGGACCATATCACCAGGTAGACCCCCCTTGCCTCCGCGCATCTCCTCGCCCTGTTGGTGTTGGTGTCGCCTTTCCTTGTTCCTATCCCCATCCCCCATCCCCTTCGAGGCCCCCACCAAATCCCCCCCCCAGTTGGGGATACCCCCCCTCGAAACCCGAAGGGGACGGCCTATGTGTCCCCATCTAGGGGGGGTAATCGGCCAGCGGGGCCCAGGCCACGCCGCTGGGGGCAGAGACCGGATAGGGGATCGTTGGTTATTCATTGTTTTGCCGATCGGCGCGGCCCCCAGCCCCCCCCCCCTCCCCCCCCCCTGGAGTAGATCTTGGCTGTCTTTTGGCGCCTGTTTGCAGCAGATGGAGCCCCCCGTCCCAGGACGCACTGTCGCAAGCAGTCGCGGTAAGCAGAGGTCCAGCGCCAGACCCCCCCTCCCCTCCCCCACCCCCCCCAGAGATCCGATGTCGTGATTTTTTCAAGACGGGCCCCCCGGAAGTCTCGACCCATTTCCCAGGACCGGTTTTTCATCCTGAGTCGTTTTTTGACGGTCCCGGGGCCTGGCGAGGGCCCCCGGGGGCGAAATTTGCGGAACAAAAACGCCTTGATGTTTTCAATGCGTTGGAGATCTGCCCCGAGATCCGACGTTGCAAAACATGTGCAACATCGCAAAAAAAAAAAAAAGATCACGCCCGGAGGCCCGGACCCCATCTGTCCGCGTCGTGTGTCAAGCCGCATCGATCCGTGAGGGTCCCGCGGGGCCAACCACTGAGCGCAAACGCCCGTGTTGAAAAACAGCATGCAAATCCGGGATCCCATAGGGAATGCCGCAGCGCCGAAGAAGGACAGCGCTCGCTGGTCGATGCTCAGGAGGGGAAACATCACGCAGGCACAATGAACCGTCGATTCCCTCCAAAATATGAGCAAATCATCCTGTGACTTGTGTCTATTCACTTGCGCGTCCCAGGGCCCCTTCAGATTCGGGCTTGGACAGACCTCCTGCCCTGACACGTCGATTAAGGGAGTGGCCGTTTTCGGTTCGCGGGAGGGCGCCGCGACCGTCATTTTTTTTGCGGGTCCCGGTCCGTCGATTTCGGCCCCGGGCCGCTTTCACTGAGGGGAGGTGTCTACTAAAGTCACCACCCACCAAACCACCCCAACCCAACCCGAAGGCTCAGATTTACCCTCGATTTCCAGTTGGGGGGGGTCGGGAAACATCGAAAAACACGTGTGGAACCCTTACCCCCCCCAACCCGAAATTCGGGTCTTCGGGTTGGGTTGGGGTGGTCTGGTAGGTAGTCATAAAAGGAGGTTTGTCCGCCGCCGACGGATGCTCCGAGGTGCCGCTGGAGCTCCGCGGCCTGAGCTGCAGCGCCTTCGCCGTCCTCCCGCGGGGCGCCCTGGCGTGGGCCCGGGCCCCGCCGGCGGAGGCCGAGGCCGCCGGCCCGGCGGGCGGGGCGCGGGGCGCGGCCGGCGCGGGGGGCGGCGGGCAGCAGTGGGGGTCCGTGGCGGAGACGTACATCGCCCGAGAAGGCATTCGGGAGGGGGCAAAGGGAAGAGCATCTCTGGAAAAAATGATAGACATACCAGTTCAGACGTCTGGATACTGTAAACTAGCGCGACTGCTGATTCCTTCCGATGGCTGCGCCGAAGAGCGTAAAGAAAACCACCACCAGCACAGAGGTCCAGCGTACTGAAAAAATCAAGGCGGAGGTTTTTCGCAAATTGCGGCCCCCAGGGGCCCTCGCCGAGCCCCGGGACCGTCAAAAAACCATTCCGGACGAAAAGCCGGTCCTGGGGAATGGGTCGAGACTTCCGGGGGCCCCGTCTTGAAAAAAACACGACATCGGATATCTGGGAGGGGGCAAACGAACAGGCACAAGGAGTCGTCGATCTTGGCATCGCTCGGACGTCGTGTGCATTTGTCCTTCGGCGAGGGCCATCGAGGAGCAGCCTTGATCATTTGGCGAAAAAGCCGCGCACGAAAAACCGACAAAAACACAGGGCATGGACGTCCGAGCGATGGCGAGCGATCTCCTCCAGGAAGATGTTGGAAAAGATTGGGAGTGTCTGGGGAGGCCCTGCCGGCGTGGGGGGTTTGCGGGCAGCAGTGGGGGTCCGTGGCGGAGACGTACATCGCCCGAGAAGGCGCATTCGGGAGGAGGCAAACGAACAGGCACAATGAACCCAGAGATCCGACGTCGTGGTTTTTTCAAGACGGGGTCCCCGGAAGTCTCGACCCATTCGTCCGGACCGGTTTTTCATCCTGAATCGTTTTTTGACGGTCCCGGGGCTCGGCGAGGGCCCCTGGGGGCCGAAATTTGAGAAAAACCTCCGCCTTGATTTTTTCAATGCGTTGGATCTCTGGGAATCGTCGATCCCCGGGAAGATGTCGGAGAAGATTGGGAGTGCCTGGGGAGGCCCCGCCGGCGTGGGGGGTTTGCGGGCAGCAGGGGGGGTCCGCGGCAGAGACGTACTTCGCCCGAGAAGGCATTCGGGAGGGGGCAAACGAACTCACCACCCACCAACCCCCCCCAACCCAACCCGAAGGCCCAAGTTTATCCTCGATTTCCAGTGTGGGGGTGTCGGGGAACATTGAAAAAACACACGGAAACCGTACCCCCCCCAACCCGACATTCGGGTCAAATTCGGGTCTTCGGGTTGGGTTGGGGTGGTCTGGTAGGTAGTCACGAACAGGCACAATGAATCGTCGATCCCCGGGAAGATGTTGGAGAAGATTGGGAGTGTCTGGTGAGGCCCCGCCGGCGTGGGGGGTTTTCGGGCAGCAGTGGGGGTCCGCGGCAGAGACGTACATCGCCCAAGAAGGCACTCGGGAGGGGGCAAACGAACAGGCACAATGAGTCGTCGATCCGCGGGAAGGTGTGGGAAAAGATTGGGAGTGTCTGGGGAGGCCCTGCCGGCGTGGGGGGGTTTGCGGACAGCGGGGGGGGTCCGCGGCACAGACGTACATCGCCCGAGAAGGCACTCGGGAGGGGGCAGAAACGCCAGAGAAAAACCCCAATCAGAGGATGGTTTGATCGATGAGGAGGTCGACCGGGCACCCGGCCGGCCCGGAACCCACCGAAGTCGGCCAGAACCAATAACAGGACCCCGGGAAATTGGAACCGGGAGCCCGGAAACCCAGCTGGCCACCAAAATCGGTGGGCCTTCTTCGCCAAATTTTTCAATTTCCGCTTGGACCCCTTCAGTGCAAGCACTGATTTGGGAAACACAGGCATAATGAATCGTCGATTTCCAGGAAGATGTTGGAAAATATTGGGAATGTCTGGGGAGGCGAAGAAATCCAGAACATGGGAGAGAATACGGGGAGTCCAGGGATTGGTGGGTGCGTATTTGTGTGTCGCTGGGTCGATCCCAGGAACATGTTGGAAACTATTGGAAGTTCCCCAATCAGTGCTTGCACTGAAGGGGTCTTAGCATAAGTTTAACGATTTGGCGAAAGTGTCCCGCCGATTTTGGTGGCTTGCTGGGTTCCCGGGTTCCCGGTTCTGGGTTCGCGGGTTCCTGGTTTTCCGGGCCGATTTCCGAGGGTTGCGGGTTCCTGGGTGCCCAGTCGATCCTTTATGGATCAAACCGTCCTCTGCTTGGGGTGACTCTCTGGTGTAATGTCTGGGGAAGCAAAAAATCCAGAACATGTGAAAAGATACGGGGTTCCAGGGATTTGTGTGTATGTATTTGCTCGACTAAAGACGTAAGAGTGACGTTTCGCCGGAGTGGCCTTTGGTGCGGGCACTGGTGAGTCCCCAAATGGTTGAAAGCGAAGCAGGAACAGCGGCTTGCGCGCCCAGGTTTGTTCCCCCTGCGGCCCCCCAAAAGCCGCGCACAGAAGGCCACTCTTGACCGCAGAGGGTCTTTCATGATGCACCCCCGCCCCCCTAAGCTCTCGGCGGGGAATAGAAACTCGTCCCTCCTCCTCCTCCTCCTCCTCCTCCTCCTTCTTCCTCAGCAGCGCTGGCGGTGGTGTGCCGGAGAGGAGGAGGAGGAGGGGGAGGAGGAGGAGGAGGAGGAGGAGGAGGAGGAGGAGGAGGAGGAGGAGGAGGAGGAGGGGAGGAGGGGGAGAGGAGGAGGAGGGGGAGGAGGAGGAGGAGGAGGAGGAGGAGGAGGAGGATGAGGATTTTGCGTGCAGCCGATTTGTGTGTGTCGCAGGGCCTCGTCAGGCACCTGCGCCTCCTACTCGGCCTCGCTCGTGGCGGCCGAGGCCCCGCCCGCGGGGCCGCCGGCGCGGCCCGCCGCGCCCACGGCCGAGGAGTTCGCGGAGTCCGTGCGGGGGAGCTCGCTGCCCGAGGGGATGAAGGATCTGGACGCCCGACATGGGTACGGAAAGAATGGGTACGATGCCCAGCAGCAGTTCCTATGCATTTTGACCAGGGCTCGCTGTCCACGCCGCTGCGGCCCGTGTCCATTCGAGACAGGAGGCCGCCTGCCCAACAGCGGCCGCTGTCGGTTTGGGAGAACATTTGCTGTTGGGCATTGTACCCATTTTTACGGTGCTCATTTCGGGCGTCCAAAAAGGAGTTCCTGGTCTCGCAGATGGAGCTGGGCAGCACCCAAAGCCATTAATCTCAAGTCGGGCCTGTCCCCCCTACAGGAGGATGTCTTCGACGAAACATTAAATAAAAAAAGTACCCTAAACATAATCCAAAAAATAGTCCACACATTGTCTGCGGATATGTTTTGACTATTTGTTTGCCTTTTTGGTGTATTTTGAAGGTTTTTTCCCGCAGATGGAGCTGGGCTTATGTCGGGCCTGTCCCCCTGCAGGGGGATTTTCGACGAAAAATAAAAGATACCCCAACAATAGTCAAAAAATCAATCCAAAAATAATCCAGGGACTATTTTTTATTTATTTTTGGACCTGTTTGGGGTAGTTTGGTATTTTCATTTTTCGTCGAAAATCCCCCTGTAGGGGGACACGCCTGACATAACATTAATCGGGCCGAACGACAGGGGGGGGGGAGGTGCGAAATCTGCTGCATGCAGCTGGTTTCGGCCCCGCCGCCGGGCCCGTTCCTCGATACACGGGCGCCTCCCGGCGCCGGGAGGCGCCGGGAAAATCAGTTACGTGAGCTGATTTCCCAACCCCTTTCTTTGCTATCTCCCCCTATTCGCCCGGCCCGAGGTAAGTCGGGCCTGTCCCTCTGCAGGGGGAATATTCAAACTTAGTCAAAGCAAAGTCTGGGGACCATGTTTCCAGCATTTCTGGATAATTGTTGCTCATGCTTTGACTATTCTCAATCTTTCCTCGAAAATCGACCTGTGGGGGGGGACACGCCCGACCAAACAAAATCATGGGGGTGCGTGCACATTAATGACTTAGCGGATTTTGGGATGTCGGTCTCATCACCTCATCGTGTCACTCAGCAGTCGTCTGGGCTCGAGAGTTTTCGCCGCATGCAGGGTGTGGCGGGAGCGTTCCTCGCCTTCCTAACCTTCGTGGTGCGGGACCATTTCGCGCGGCGGCCGCCCTGGGACGGCGGCGACGCCGACTGGTGCCGCTCGGAGGCTCTGGCACCGCATCCCGCCCCGCCTGCGCGGGACGACGCTGTCTGCCCTGTGAGCTGGGTCCACCCTGGCATCGTGGAGGAGATCGCGCAGCAGCTCGCCGCTGATCGCTGCGCGTGCGAGGTTCAGTGCAACAGCGGGGCGAGGGACTTCGCCCTGTTCGCGGGCGGCGTGGGCTTCTTCGGCTTCGGGCAGTTCATCTACTGGGTGACCTTCTTCGGCAAGTGCTACTGCTGTCGGCGGGATGGCGCTCGCGCTGGCGCCGCGGGCCGTGCGCCTCGGGGCCACAGGCGAGCGTCTTACGGTGCGGGAGTTTTTGAATGAGCTCCTCCCTGGCCGCCTCGTGGCGGTCAGATACCCAGGAGAGGACCTCTACCACGAGAGGGTGGTCCTCGGCCCGTGCGCTCGCGACCCACTCGGCCGAGTGAGTCGCTGGGAGGTGCTGACGCCCGACCACGACAAATACGACGAAGACATGACCATGGAGGGCGACGAAGGCGAGGCCATCGTCCTCCTGGACGACATGGGGAATTGTCCAGCTGGCCTGCGAGGTAAATTTTACCGCTTTGCTGGAGACCGCTATCCAAGCAGCCAGCAGATCGTGGATTGGGCCAGGGCCCAGGTCGAGCAGATCAGGGCCGCTGGTGAGGAGCCGCTGTCGATGACTCACTACATCGACCACGCGGGCTCTCGCAAGGCGCTGGCTGGCGTGGGCAGGCGGCTCCGCCTGGGCGCTCCCGCGCCCTTGCCTGCGGGGGGGCCCGAGGCCCCTGGAGGCGCGGCCGCCGCTGGCCGCCTCGCGGCCGTGGACGGCGACGCCGACGGCGCTGGGGCTCCCGCGGGGCCCGCTGGCGCGGTCGGCCTGGGCGCTGTGCGCGACGCTACCGAGGACCCCTTCGGTCCCCTGCGTGCGCGCGAGGAGCCCGCCGAGGGTCGTGTCTGGATTGTGTGCGAGAACTCCGACGAGCACGAGACCCTCGGGCTGGAGGTCACGTTGAGGCCTGGCGACATCGCCATCACCAGCCACGACGGGTTGGTGCATCGGCACGGCGGGTTCTTGAGGATTCGCTCGGTGCTGTCCAGCGAGTGCGTCGACTTCGTTGCCCGCCTAAAGGCTCGCTACAAGTCGACTGCTGCTGAGCCGCCTGCTGGAGCCTTGGCGATCGGCGGCGCGAAGACCCCCCCCCGTCGAGGTCGACGACGACGTCAGGACCTTGTGGGTCGACTACGACGAGTCTGGGAACCGTTTCAAGTCCTTCAAGAGGGCCGTGCAGGAGAGCCGCGAGGAGCCCATCACGGCCGTGGAGGTGCAGGGCCCGCCTGGCACGCTCCACCTCGCTCGGTTCATCGAGCGGCACGGCGGGGGCCCGCGGCGCTGGTGGCAGGGCTTCGCGCGGGGCCACGGCATCAGCAAGACGGACAGGGTCTACCACGAGATGACGAACCTCACGGAGAGCCTGAAGTTGTTCGGCGAATACGACCAGCTCAACTTGGGTGCCTCCGCGGGCATCGAGAAGCTGACGAGGCGCATCTGCGGGGTGATCGACGCCTACGCGACAGGCGGGGGGGTCCCCAGCTGGAAGATGGCAGGCGTCTACGAGGGCGAGGCCAACTCGATCGACGCCATTGCCCCCGCCTTGCGCAAGTGGGGCCTGACCAAGGTGAAGGACCAGAACGAGCTGGAGCAGGCTCGTTTGCGCCATCCGCGGCCCGCGGAAGGCGCCGACCCGAGCGCCGCCCCGTCGGGCGCTGCGGGCCGCGGCGACGGCGGCCGCGGCCGCGGTGCTGGGGCAGGGCGGGGGGGCCGCGGCAGAGGCGATGCGGCCGCCCCTGATGGCGGGTGACCTAGACGACGGGTCGCGGATTGGCCCTCCATGCCGCGGCCCGCTGAGAGTGGGGGATTTTCGGGCGGGAGGACGCCCCAAGCTTTTTGACCAGTTCCCGATCGCGCTGCCGCCTTTGGAGTCTGCGCCGACTTCGGGAGGGCGTCGGTCGAAGAGATACCGCAGACGTGACCGCGTGCGGCAACTCGTCGAGGGCGCTTCGAATGCACTTAATTGGCTTGCTAAGACCGATGACCACCGACTCCCTGATCTCCGCGGGCGGCCTCAACATGTTTCGGAGCTCGGCCAGTGCCAGGTGACCCGCGAGCGTAACGAGGCGCTGTCCTACGTGGAGCAGTTGGCTGCGCTCCAGGTGCGCGACGGTGGCCATGAGTACTACTTGCTGTCAGAAGTGGCCCTTCGGGAGCTGCTCTGTGACAAGGCGTCTGGCTACAGGATGGACGCCTCTATGACTACGCTCGCGCCGTGCCAGCGAGGTCGGGTCTCCCTGCCTGAGAAGCGAGATGCGGTGTCGTCCGTCTTCGACCTGGTGGGGGATCGTGGCCGTGCATACCTGGAGGGTGCAGGAGAGCGCATGCTCGATCCCAGTGCTAGTGACACGTTGGCTGGCGATGCTGATCGATGTTATGTTGATCCCCAGCTCGCCATCAACCCGAAGCTCTACGCCCGCTTCGTGCGCGACCTGAAGGCCAGGAACATGCTAGTCTTCGGCAAGTGGGCGCATGAGCGCACAGGACTTTTCTTCGTTCGAAAAAAGAGTGGGAAGCTCCGACTTATCCTCGACGCGCGGCGGACCAATCGGTGGTTTCGACCGCCGCCGCGCGTCGACCTTTTGACGGCCGAGGGCTTAGGCCGTATAGAGGTCGAGCTTCCCGACGACCAAGACTTTTCATCTCTCTACTGTGGCACAGCTGACGTGCAGGACGCGTTCCACAGGATGGGCATGCCAATGTGGCTGTCTCGCTGGTTCGGCCTGCCCCGTGTGCGAGCTCGAGACGTGGGGCTGACTTCCTGCGAGGACGGCCCCTTCGCGCCCGACGACTGGGTCACGCCGATGCCGAGCTGCCTCCCCATGGGCTTCGCCTGGAGCCTCTTTTTCGCCCAGGACATCGACGAGGAGGCCGCCTGCCAGGTTCTTCCTCGAGCCGAGCTGCTACGCGACCGTGGCCAGCCGCTCGCGCTCTCGCTGCGGGGCGCGGGCGCCACTGCGACGCGCCACTACATCTGCGTGGACAACATCGGGGTGTTCGGCGCCGACGGCCGCATCGTGGCCTCGAAGCTCGAGGACGTGGTCTCGGCGTTCGAGTCTCGCGGCCTGGCGGTGCACGAGGTCGGCGTCTCCGACGAGGGGGCGGAGGCGCTGGGCGTTCTGCTGGACGGCCGCAGGCGGCACACCCGCCTCACCGCCAAGCGCTTCTGGAGTGTGCGAGGGGCCATCCTGGCTCTCACCAGCCGCCGGCGGGTGACGGGGCAGCAGGTGGAGGCCATCCTCGGCCACGCCACCTTCTGCGGCCTGCTGCGGCGCGAGACGCTGTCGGTGTTCACCACCGTCTACCCTGTCATCAGGGCTCACTACGACCAGCCCGTCGCCCTCTGGCCGTCGGCCGCGGGCGAGCTACGCACGTTCGCTGGGCTCATGGTCCTGCTCGTGTCCGACTGGGAGGCGGACTGGAACCCCATGATCGTGGCCTCGGACGCCTCCGAGTGGGGCTGCGGGCTTTGCAGCCGCTGGGTTGGTGCCGACGAGGCTGCGGCAGTGGGTCGTGTTCGTGAACGCGATCGCTACCTCGACCCCGACCACGTCGCCGCTCGGGCCGCCGCTCTTGGAGAGGCCCAGTCGGCGACCTCTGTACCTGCCGAGCCTGCCGACCTGTGGGACGCCTGCGGGACGAGCGGCCTGATGGCCGACCCCACCTTTGCGGAGGTGCCCTCGCCCATGCTGGAGAGCACGTCTTGGAGGACCATCGG